CGCGACCCCTCTGGCGGTCAAATGACCCTTTCACAGGGGTCGCCTAAGACCATCCTGCATATCAGATATTTACATGACGATTCATAACAGTAGCAACATGACAGTGATGAAGTAGCAACGAAAATAATTTTATGGTTGGGTCACAACATGAGGAACTGTATTTAAAGGGCCAGAAGGTTGAGAACCACTGTGCTAGTCTATAGGAAATAGTGGTCACATCTCCTGCTGTATGGGAAAGCCCGTCCACAGGGAGGGAATAAGGCTGTGCATGGAAAAAGGCAGGGCCAGGATGGAGAGAACTGCCCTGGTGGCATCAGCACCTGGGCCAGTCATTCCTAAAGCCTGCCCGGATCCCTGCCCTTCCCACCACTGGCCGTCAGCCCTTCCTCCAAGTCCACGAGCCAATAAATCCCCCGTTTTGTTTGAACAGGAGCCCTGAAGTGGAGGCCCTGAGCTGCTGCTGACACCACAGCTTCTGGGCCAGTGCTGGAGCTAGAAACATGGGCAAAAATGGAGCTGCCCTGTCGGAGCCAACAGACTACGAGGGACTGGGATATGCAAGCAAATAATGACAGTGTGCTGCCAAGTCTCATGGCCGAGGTTCCAGCTAACTCAAGAGAAGAGGGCCCCCGGCTACATGCAAATGAGTAAAATGTCCCCGAGGAGGGGGACTGAATAAGTTCAGGCAGTGAACATACCACAGCATCTTTGTCAGGTCATTTTTCTTCTTTTGGATGATTTTAGGGTAACTTGGTAATAGGACTACTGAGCTAAAGAGCACAGACCTATGTTTATTATGGCTTTTGGAGACTGCTACCAAACGCCAAGCAGGTTGGGAGTGAAGCCACACACACCCTCATACTTACTAGTAGCCTCCAAACAGCCCTCTCCCCGTTTGGAGCTTTGTCTACCAGTAGACTTGTTTCCTGCAGCAGCCCAGTCCCTGTCCTGTCTCACCACCGAGGCCGAGATGCCACCAATAGTAAGAGCTGTACCAAAAGGAAATGCTTCATCCCAGCTGGCGGATCCAGCCCAGGGGACCTGCTGGAGCCCCAGCAAGAGAGAGGAAGAGAAGAAATACCCCGGATGTTTCCTTCCCCTTATGTTCCTGCCTCCTGTCCCTGTCTCCCATTGGCCAAACCCAGGTGTGAAGTCAGCTGTCCTAGACGCCTGAGAAACTGCGCCTTGCAGGGCGATACAGAACAGAGCAGAAGAGCTGGGAAGGGATCAGTCACAAGGCGTAGAGGATGACCAGTAGGTAGAAATTACTTAAACTCTTGAAAGTAACAAAATTATTCACTTAAAAACATACTGTAGTCCTGACTGGTTTGGCTCAGTGGGTGGAGCATCGGCCTGCGGACTCAAGGGTCCCAGGTTCGATTCCAGTCAAGGGCACGTACCTTGGTTGTGGGCACATCCTCAGTAGGGGGTGTGCAGGAGGCAGCTGATCGATGTTTCTCTTTCATCGATGTTTCTGACTCTCTATCCCTCTCCCTTCCACTCTGTAAAAGATCAATAGAATATATTAAAAAAACAAAACAAACATACTGTAATACCTATAGACTAGTTCACATCTCCTCTCCCACCCCCAACCTACTCTAGTCACGTGTTGCTTAACCACAGGGACACGTTTTTCATTGTTATGTGACCATCATAGAATGCACATGCACAAACCCAGATGGTCTAGGCCAGCCGTGGGCAAACTACGGCCCGCGGACCGGATTCGGCCCATTTGAAATGAATAAAACAAACAAACAAAAAAAAAAGACCGTACCCTTTTATGTAATGATGTTTACTTTGAATTTATATTAGTTCACACAAACACTCCATCCATGCTTTTGTTCCGGCCCTCCGGTCCAGTTTAAGAACCCATTGTGGCCCTTGAGTCAAAAAGTTTGCCCACCCCTGGTCTAGGCTCTGTGGACGAGGCAATTGCTCCTAGACTACAAACCTATATAGCATGTTACTGTCCAAAATCCTGTAGGCAACTGGAATACAATGGTAAGTATTTGTATCTAAACATAAACAAAGGTACAGTAAAAATACTGCATAAAACAGCGGTCACCAACCTTTCGGACCTCATGGACCACCAGGGGTCCGCAGACCACCGGGTGGCGACCGCTGGTATAAAAAATAAAAAATGATGCACCTGTACAGGCGCGCTTACTGTGAATGGAGTGAGTCAGTGAGTGAGGGTGAGTGGATGTGAAGGCCAAGGACCTTACTGTCCACTACTGTAGACTTTATACACACTGTACACTTAGGCTACACTCAACTTAAAATTAAATATTTTTCTTTCTTTAGTAATAAATTAAACTGAGCTTACTTTTTTACTTTATAAACAAAAAATATTTTTTTAATCACTGGCCAGTGTGACTCATTGGGTCGGAGCATCATCCCCTACACTGAAAGGTGGCAGGTTTGAATTTCCGGTCAGGGCACATGACCCCTGGTCAGGGTATGTACAGGAGGCAGCCAATCCATGTTGATGGTTGATGTTTCTCTCTCTCCCTCTCCCTAGAATCAATGAAGAAGCAAAACTAGGACCCACACACACACACATTAGCCTAGACCCGTGATCGGCAAACTGCGGCTCTCGAGCCACATGCGGCTCTTTGGCCCCTTGAGTGTGGCTCTTCCACAAAACACCACGTGTGGGCGTACACGTACAGTGCGATTGAAACTTCGTGGCCCATGCGCAGAAGTTGGTATTTTGTGGAAGAGCCACACTCAAGGGGCCAAAGAACTGCATGTGGCTCTCGAGCCGCGGTTTGCCGAGCCGCAGTTTGCCGACCACTGGCCTAGACCTACTCTGCACTGTCTTGCATTTGCACTTGTTTTTCCACTGGAAGTTCTTCAAGGGCAGACACAGGCAATGCTTTCTTCTGCCTGCCCGAGGCTCCTCTTGAGGACACGGCCCTCTCTTCAGAAAGCACCACCTCTATGAGGGCAGTAGGCACAGGGTTTCTTCAGCCCCTTTATAATCTTACTAGAGGCCTGGTGCACGGATTCACGCATGGGTGGAGTCCCTCAGCCTGGCCTGTGCCCTCTGGCAATCCAGGATCCCTCCGGGGATGCTGGACTGCTGGTATCGGCCTGATCCACGGAGGGATGTAGTTGTAGGGGAGGAGCCTGAGCCCGGGCTGGGCGCCACTGCTCTGCTCAATCCGAGCCCACTGACCACCAGGGGGAAGCTCCTGCATTGAGCGTCTACCCCCTGGTGGTCAGTGCGTGTCATAGCAACCAGTCAAATGGTTGACCAGTCAAATGGTCCACCGGTCAAATGGTGGACCAGTTGCTTAGGGTTTTGTGTGTATAGATGGGACCACATAAAGGCAAGACAGTCCTTTATCCTGCATCACTACCGTGCTCCGTCTGTCACAGGGGCATTTTAAAATGGCTTTTCAGGATCGGACATCTTCTCCGCCCAAATCTCAGGGAGGGTTCTACAGCACAGGGAGGTGCCCATCTATGTCACAGAGGGAAAGGCTCAGCCACGGGGTGGTCACGCCGCAACGCCATGGCGGCCATGGCAACTGGGCTCTTAAGGATTCCCGGGACCGTGGGGAGGGTCACAGTCCCTGGACTCACGTTGAAAAAGTGGAAACCAAACACAGGGAGCATGTCTCTCCGTCTCTTGAGATCTTGCTTCCAGGTGTGTCCTCTGGCTCAAATAAATGATTATAAAAATTCAAAAAATAATCATAAATAAAAACTGGAAATCATAAGCATGAGAGGTGGTCTGCAACCGCCCACACTCCACTCGGCTCTGCCTCTTCGCATGGCCTTGTCCGGAAGGTTCCACCACGTTTTTCGCAGAAAGTAGTAGGTAAGCATCTAGGGACACAGACAACGTGCCCACGGCCTCCCAGACCCGGGGGGGCGGAAGTCATCCCGCCCGCGCTCTTCCCACGCCCGGCGCCCTCCTCTCCGCGCCGGCTCCTTCCCGCCGCGGGCAGCTCCCCACGGAGGCCCATCTCCCCGGGCCCGCGCGATGCGTCCGGGAGCGTCTCAACCGAGAGCGGCCTGTGGACCGGGCCGCGCGGCTCCGGACGACCCTCCGGGGCAGCCACAGGGTCCCCGTTCCCGCCCGCGACTCCCGCCTCGGCCCCGGGGCTGCGGACGCCCGCGAACCCTGCCCGCGGCCCAGCGG